TGTGTCATCCTCAACATGTTAAAAACATGCTACTGTTGTGCCACCAGCATTGGAGAAACATGTGTGTTATTGCATGTGCTTCCTATGTCATTCTTGGCGCATGAGGACATCTGTGTCCTTGGCATGTGCTTTGCATGATTCTGGCTGGTTCAGACCAATTTATACCGGTTCAGACTCATTTTTGCTGGTTCCTGCCTGTTCCAGCTGGTTTAGACCTGTTTATATTGGTTCTGACCAGTTTATACCAGTTCAGACCAGTTCTGACTTGTTTATATTTGCCACTAGTTCAGACCAGTTTATGTCAGTTCAGGATGGTTCAGACCAGTTTCGACAGGTTCAGATGGGTTCCAACTGGTTTATACCAGTTCAGACAGGTTTCTACTCGTTAAGACTGGTTTATACCAATTCCGACAGGTTTACGCTGTTTGCGACTGTTTCAGACACGTTATAAGATGGGAGGGTGTTCAGCTGTGTTGTGTAAAATCTTTCGGTTTTCCAGGTCTAGATCTCTGAGATTAGAGATTCGTTTAGAGACGCAACATGAAAACTACAAGCACTTGCAACCAAGGGAACCACTGTGTTCCCCTGAACACAGTGCATGGGGCTAGTGCTCGCCTTCCAGTGCTCTATCACTGCCGATGACTCAACCTCTGATTACTCAGGTGCACAGAGGCTGTGCACCAGTCATTGACCCAACACAGCTTCCTAGGACATGGTTACAATTATCATCCCCAACTTACAGAGCAGGAAAATGAGGCAAAAAGAGGAAACAGGACTTTTCCCAAAGTCAAGCAGCTGTTGACATTCAAGCTACGGTTCAAGGTCGGATCTCTTTGGTACCAACCTCTGGGCAGCTTCCCCTGTTTCACTGAGTTGTAGATCCCCCCCAGACCCGCACAGATCTGTACGCATGGACACACATCCAGTCTCCTGTCTTCACCACCCCTCTCTAACCCAGCTCTGAACTTTTCCAAGACAGGAAGTCTGAAGAGCAATAGGCCCCTGTGGTACATCCCTGATCGACACAATGTATCAGCTGGTTTCACTGTTAATTAATGCAGAGAGGAATCATTAAATCAGATCAAATTCATTTAAAAATGTTAAGGGCTATGTGGAAGGCTTGGGGGAGGGAAAGGGAACAGATATGGCGATTTAATTTTTCAAGTAACACTGTTCAAATAAAATACATTTGTTCAAATGAGATTGCTCTGGAACAGCATTTGCATGGATGGCTCTGAGAATAATTCTATTAAGCCGGAGCATATTTTTCATCAGGAGGCAGGAAGAGAGAGTGAGGCAGTGAGAGAGAGAGGGAAGAAGGGAAAACTGAATGGAACCGTATGGAGCTGGAACAATCAAATACTTGAAGCCATTTTTATCTCCTGGTTCTCCACTGAAGTTGGTCACTATTCTACTGCCTGCTGTGGACTTCAGAGGGTCCCATATATCTTAGACACACTTTCGTGCTGGGACTCAGCAAAGCCAGATGCAGACACTATGTACCTGCGGGTGCCAAGTAGGTTAGACATCGTAAAGGATGTTAGAAGCTCTGGGGAGGAATCTGCTTCCAGACACATTGGGTTTATCGGCAGAATTCAGGTCCTGGTGGCTGCAGGACTGATGGCCCTGTGTATAGCTATCATCTGAGCTGCAGGGGAAGTCAGGGCTACTGCAAACATGTGGCTATTTCCCTGGGGCGTGCTTTCCCACTTTTCTCCTCTCTCTCTGTTTCTCTCTGATGAGCACAAGCACCTTGTAGCAATTTTTTTAAACATATTTTAACCAGTTATGTCTTAGTAATAGGGAACCACTTGCTCGAATCATGTTCTGGGGTCAGACAGTCACATGTGATAATAACGGGACCCACATGGGAAAGGTCCTGGGTTTGTGCTCTGGGACCTTCCTAAGGACATACATGCCCATGACTTAGGCTGGTTGAGACTTGGGGTAAGTCACTGCATAAAGGCCCTGTTGGGATGCCTATCTCTTTGTCTCTCTTTCTCTCTCTTACAGAAGAAATAAATAAGAAAACTTATTTAAAGTCCCTTCTTTTCATAGAAGCATTATTCATAATAGCCAAAAGGCAGAAACAACCCATGTGGCTATTGACTGATGAATGGATGAACAATATGCAGGGGATCCATACAATGGAATAGTACGCACCCATAAAAAAGAATGAAGTGTTGGTCCACACTACCCCCTGGATGGACCTAGAAGACATTATGATGAGAGAAGTCAAACACAAAAAGCTACAAGGTGTATGACCTCTGTATGTGGAGTGTCCAATGTGGTCAACCTTTAGAGGCAGAAAGCGTTCAGAGTACCCAAGGATGGGAAGGACGGGTAATGGCGATAGAGTTTCTTTTCAGGGTGAAGAAAATATTCTGAATAAGACTGTAGGGGTCACTGTACAATTCTGTGAATGCAACAAAATCTACTGGACTGTATACTTTTGATGCATGGATTTTATGCTATGTGAAATATCTTGACTAAGCTGTAAACAGAATTTTAATAAATTTTAAAATGTTGAACTAGCGTGCCAGATGCACGTGTGCACATGCCCAAAATCCCAAAAGGAGAATGGAGAAGGGGTTGCCATGTGGCTATTTCCTTGGGGCATGCTTTCCTACTTTTCTCTTCTCTCTCTGTCTCTCTCTCTGATGAGCACAAGCACCCCACAGCAATTTTTTAAAAATAGTTTAACTAACAAATAGGTCATTCTTTTTTCCCTTTCTTCCGAAAGTAACAGAGTTTCTCCAGTTAACGCGATAGTTTTATTTTCAGATCTTTAGTACAAAAGCAAAAGCAAAGGAGAGTGTGTGTGTGTGTGTGTGTGTATGTGTGTGTGTTATATATATATATGACAATTAACCAAATACCACAAAAAGAACCAGACGCAAATAGCAAATAAAAGGAGAGCCAACCCTTTTTATCTGCTCCCAACAAAGTTGTGAGAACTTGGTTGGGATGGAGTATCAATATGATGAAGGACCACTGGCTTTCTACACATTTCCCTTGAGCACAGATATGCCTTACTTCATCCGCTTTAAATCCGTTCATCCACTTGTTTTGTTTTATTTTGTTTCTACAGAGCATCTGCACTCACCAAGAGAGACAGAGAGAGAGAGGAGAGAGATGGAAAATGAGAAATCACCGCCGGGGAGGATGGCCATGATGCAATCCCTTGTCCCCCATTCTCCTTTCGCGATTTGGGCATACACGTATGCCTGATGTAATTTTCACACCACCAGGTTTGGGACTCAAACCACAGAAATAGCCATGTGGGATCCAGCTGCCTTAATCTCCAGGTCACCTGCTGGCCCTTCATTCATACTTTACCATTGTACTTCATGGGTCATTGGAGAAGCTACATCCTTGGAAGATCACCTTGATATATTGACTTACTTTTGTAAACTAGATAAAAACTGGCTTACAAAAAAATAAAAACAAAGACATTCTGTATCTGTTTCTACTTTATTTGAATGATAAAAGACCATTGTAACTTTCTACAAATCTATTTCGTTCTTACCAGGTGACCTGCTACATTTTATTTTTACTATTTCCTTTTCAATCACCTTTAAAGAATTATTCAAATATAGGATATCAGCAAGTGGCATGGTGGTTAAGGCATGGGCACTCCCACATGGCTGACCATGGTTCGGGTCCTGGACCTGGTGGCTTGCTTTCTCACTTTCTCTCTCTCTCTCTCTCTCTCTCTCTCTCTCTCTCTCTCTCTGGTCCAGTTAAAATAGATGGATGAATAAATAAAATTAAATAATTCTTAAAAAAAGAGTGATTAAGGTAAAGAATTCGAAGAACTGAGAGTCAGAGCACGCCACATCACCTCCCTGTGTCTACACCTCCTGTACGTGAAAGGGCAGCCCAGAATTAGCTCAAAGGTAATTATCTCAAAGGGGTTGCTCAGTCTGTGTCTATTAATGTGGAAACGGAACGAGATACACAAATAGAGTTCGAGGGAACTTTAACTTCTTGGAATTTTAATAAAGAGATTTCCTCCAGCAATAAAATAATCTAACAACGAAGACACACATCTCCCCAGAAAGTCATCTTAGTCATTATGGGAGGCACGAAGAAATAAAAGAAGCATCCTGGGTGAAGCTGATTTTGTGTAAAAGCCCTAGAATTATCCATTTATCTCATTACTGTAGCCAGATTAACAATATGGCTAGCTGGCATGCCAAATGATAAATCCTACCTTAGCTGAGAATAAAATATTGTTTAGAAAATTTGGGAACAGCAGGAACTGTTTTTTAGGAATGAAAAAGGGGAAAAAAAACAAAAATAGGTACTGAGGTTCCAGTACCTAAGCTAAGCCTACTGACAGCCACCTAAAACCAACTGCCAGCCAGCCTTCCAAAAGGCAGGTGAGAATATCACACCTTACTTCTTCCTAGGCCTTGAAACTCCACACTCGTGCAATCCCAACTGCTCCAGGCATTAGCTGCCACGTCTCTACAAAGAATGACAATCAAAATCCCATAAACCCATGAAAAGCAGCGTGATCAGGTAACCCAACCTCTTTGTTACAAGGATGGCCAACCATTGGCCAACCACAGAGTAGACACCTGCTTATGAAGACACATACCAACTCCCTGTGACCAAGGAAAATCAGACAGCCTTAAGGAAGGCTGAGGGCCTCCAGCCAAGGCTTAGGCCTGCAGGGACACATTAGCTGCTAACAGGGTCCAGAGAGAACTCCTTTCTGGTTACCAAGTACCCCAATCCTTCGATTTGGGCAACCCCAAACTGCCTTAAAACCTAGAGTCACACTCATCTGTTTCAATAACTTAATCACAAGAGATGTTAGTAAGATGACAAGCAATTGTTAAGTGTCTTCTTAATTACATGAAATTTCCTGCATCCACAGCTTTAGCTTATGACAGATAGGAAGCACTAAGGGGCTACACTTACACCTCACTGTATTATCACCCGATCTCACTACTGAAATTACACAATGCCAGTAAGCAAGCGGGACTTACCGATTTTCTGATTGAAAATCTTGTCAAAGGTGATTTCATTTCTCTCCTCAAGATACTTCTGCATTACACTCCGGATACTAAAAGAGAAAAGTGACACAGTTTTAATGAGACAGTCTGCATCTTGAGTAACCAGCCCCAGAATGAAAAAAATATATACGGATGTCTTGACTCAAGACACCTCCACAGCCTGGCGGTTAAGGAAGCTGAAACCCACATGGCCAACCATAGTCCAATCCCAGCCCAGTGACTTGTAATCCATGCTGAGTGCATGTGTGTGTGCACGCCCGAAAGCCTGACAGGATGGAGAAATGGAGAAGGGATTGTGGCATGATCACACCATTGAGGGATTCTCTCTCTCTCTCTCTCTCTCTCTCTCTCTCTCTCTCTCTCGTGCACTCAGTACCCCTTGGCAATTTAAAAAACAAAAACAGACAAAACTCATCGGTTTCATTGGTAATCCTCCCCTGCGACTCAGGGCCGGCCTTTCGGCAGTGACCAGGCTCCAGAAAATAACTCACGGACTTTGAAAACCCATCTCAATACCACCATTTTCCAAATTATGCACAAGTGTGGCACACACACGTAAATGCCACACAACACGCAGACCCCACACACGCTCCTGCTTCCCCAACACACACACACGACACATTCTGCTCATCAATTTACTAATAAGCTTCTTTCTAAAACAAAAGCAGTTCTCTAGATACATGATTAATATGCAAAAGTCTCACAGCCATACACACATACAGCAAGAGAAAATAGCATTGGAAGAAAGATTTCCCTCGTAACAAAAGCATTAAATATATTGAAATGAACCTTCCAAGACATGTGCAAGAATTTAATGGGGACAATTACAAATTGTATTGAGAAATGTTAAAGAAGATCTAAATAAACCAACAGGCACACCACAGTTGTGAACAGAAATGTTTAACAATGTAAAAACTTGAAGTCTGCCCGAGTTTACGTATAAAATCAACTCACTCCTCATCACTATTCCAGTGGAGGTTTTCATGGGACATAGAAACAGATATGCTCTTTCTAAAAGTCATACATAACTGAGGATCAAGAATAGTCAAAACACTTGAAGAAAAAGAATAAAGGTACTGAGGCTTGTTGTGAAGCTAAAATAATTCAGACAGGATAAACAAATTGATCCACAAAATGGACTAAGACACACAAAAACTGAGCCACACACACATTGAACTTTGATATAGAATTGATGCAGCAAGGCAGCAAAATGGAAAAATCCCATAAGAGCTGGAATAAACAGATACCCATATGCAAAAAAAAAAAAAAGGACAAAAACAACAAAACAAAACTTAATGACCTCCCACTGTATCACAAAAATAAGTTAAAATGGATCAGAGGTTTACATTTAAGAGTTAGAGCTGTTGACACATCTAGAAAACCTAGGAGAAAATATTTGTGACTTTGAGCAAAGGTTTCTTTGATGAGACACCAAAGCTACAATCCATTTTTTAAAAAAAACTATTGATAAATTGGATTTAATCAAAATTTTTAAAGTTTTGCCCTTTAAAGAGACCCCAAAGTAAGTGCAAAGAAAATGATAAGCTCAGGAAATATTTGAAAATCGCATATAATAAATAGGTAAAGAATGCTTACAATTTGATAAAAAGAAACCGGTCTCCCTTGAAATGAGAAAAAGATCTAAGCAGCCCTTTTGCCAATGAAGATACGTGAATGGCGAATAAGCACATGAAAAAACGCCCAGCGTGACTGTTCATCAGGGAAACCGTAGGAGCATAACGAGGTGGTCCTTCACACCTCACTAGAACGGCTAAAACAGAAAGCCAGAAAATTAGAAGCGTTTTCAGGATTGTAATTTGAAACATCTCTCATTTCCCCCACCGGACTGTTCTATGATTTCAGTAACCAAGTGACCAATTGAATGTCATTTCTAGATTTGGTGTTCTGCCTCCGTGCTGTACTGGGACAGGATACCATTCATACTATTTTCCATGCCAAGACAGTATTATGTTGAGGACTAGAACTCTTTAATTTTTGAAACCAGGTAGTATTCCTTTTGTTCTTTTTCCAAATTGTCTTGCCTGTCCTGGGTCTCCTGTATTCCCACATAAATCTTGGGATCAGCTTTTATCTATACCTTTCCCCTCTTAGCCTCTCTTCTTTTGGATTTATTTGTTTGGTTGGTTGTTTTTAATGAGAGCGAGAGAGAGAACATGCACATGGAAGGAGAGGAGAGAGAGAGAGAGGCTTTGGTTTTTTTTCAACAGGGTCATGGTGACCATGCCACAAGTATCCTGCACACGTGCCTGCCTGTGTCTGGCCTGTTTATGTTGGGCCAGGTACCAAACCCAGGCCTCCCATGTGGCTTCAGTCACTGCTCAGGAACACCCTCCGACCAACTTGGCATGGCGCTGGTTTCATTTTTATCTGCCTTATAGGTTCTTATTTTATCTCTTCTTTTTTCCTTAATTAAAAAGTCTAGTACAGGGGCTAGCCTTGTGGTCTGGTGGTGAAGGGAGCTAGATCCCACCTGGTCGACTGCACAGTTCAAATCCCAGTCCCAACAGCTTGGAAAACACCTTGGGTACACGTGCATGGATGTCCCAAATCCCAACAGGATGTAGAAGTGGGGGAGAAGGGATCCCACTGGGAGGGGCTTTTTCCCTCTCCCTCTCTTTCCATTTCTCTCTCTGGTGCATACACACATACCTCCTGGCAGTAAAAGAAAAAGTAGAATTTCCTCTTTAACCATCAGAAATCGACTCTATATTCATATATGGTTCCTACTATTCCTAACTGTTATGTTCTACTTTTAATTTTCTTCATTTTTAATGTTCCTATTTGCATTTTTTAAAACTTGTATGTTTTAATTACTAGCTCAAGGAATGTGGCTGGTCCTCTAACATGACATACAAAAAATAATGTGAGATGAATCATAAATCCAAATATAAACCCTAAAACTACAAAACTTCTCAAAGAAAACATAACACAAAAAAATAATCTTTATGACTAAGTAAGGCACAAAAGCATACCAAAAGCAAAAACACAGAGTTCCTAATACCCTTGGGATCTTCTAAGTGATAGGAGTGTCATTTATTCCTAAAGAGGCCTTTTCAACCAACCCCACTGGTGAGCCTTTCCAGAGCTTCATGGGGGACTGGTTGTCAGAGGAACCAACCATTTGATTAGCAGGTTGGAACCTTCAGCCCTACCCCCTGACCTTGGGATGCTGAAATTGATTTCAATCTCTGATGGCTAATACTTTAAGCAATAATCTTGGTGAAATCTCTTGAGGAGTTTAGAGAGCTTTGAGGTTGGTGCATATATCTGTGTGCTGGGTGGGTAGTAAAAGCTCTTGTGTCCTGCCCCTCTCTCCTCCAAGACCCAGCTCGGTATACCTCTTCTATTTCGCTGTCCCTGGATGGCATCTTTCATAATCAAACTAATTATAAGTTATAGCAGGTTCATGAGTTCTATGAGCCTTTCTAGCAAAAGATGAAACCTGAAAGGATGGATGGTCATGAGAACCCTGGATTTATAGTCAGCCAGGCAGAACTGTGGGACTCCAGGAATGAGCATTCGAAGTGGGGCAGTCTCGTGGGACTGAGGACTTCGGGCAATGTTGGAATCAATTTGAATGGTAGGACATCACGCTGGTGTCACAGAATGGAGAACTGCTCATGAAAGATGGCATGACATGTATGTTCATCATCTTTATTATTTTTTAAGAGAGATTTTTTTGCAATAGAGTACAGGCACTCGCCAAAGAGACAGAGACAGAAAGCGAGAAATCACACCCCCGGGATGATGGCCATGATGCAATCCCTTATCTTCCATCCTCCTCTCGGGATTTTGGGCACACACGCACACACACCCTATGTGTTTTAAGCTGCCGGGCCCAGGACTCGAACCGCAGTAGGCCGTGTGGGAGTCCAGCAACGCATTAGCTATGCCATCTGCTGGTCCCTATTTTCTTATTAAACCAAGTCCAGTTTCACAGGGGAGACAAAACTTACCAAATTGCACACTTGAGATAAATGCTATTTCTTTTATGCTCATTACACTTCAATAAAGCTACTTATTGTGTTTTGGTGTGTTCTGTTTTTTAACTCTACCATGGGGCTGCAATCAGCAAATTTCTGGGTGTAGAAAACTACACAGCAACTGACTCAAAAATTTTTTTAAATAATTACTTTATTTAACTTTACTTACTTATTTTTAATTTGACCATAGAGGGACAGAGCAAGAGGTGGGGAGGGGTGAAAAAGCAAGCCTCTAGGTCTGGGACTCAAACCATGGTCGGCCATGTGGCTCTTAACCACCCTTATCCGCCCTTAAGCACCACGCCACCTGCCGGCCCCGACCCAACTTCTTCAACAAAAAATTTCAAGAAGGAATAATGATGGCAGAGGAAACCATAGGTCAACAAAGACTTAGAAGAAATAACAATCAGGCAAAATGTGTGACCCTTATTTGAAACTCAAGTTAGGTTAGGAAAAAAAAAAAAAAAGTCTTTCAAAACACTGGAGAAATGTGAATACAGATTGATTTGATGATTTAAGAAAGTGAGGAATTTATTTTTTTGAGGGGGGAGCATGTGACGTGGTTAAGGTGCTGGACTCCCACATGACCGACTGCAGTTTGAGTTTCGCACCTGACGGCTTGAAAATCATGCCAGGTGTATGCACACGTGTGCCCAAAACCCCAGGAGGAGAGTGGAGGACAAGGGATTGTGGCATGGCCATCCCCTCCCGGGGGAAAGAGGGGGTGCGATTTCTCACTTTCCTTCTCCCTGTCTCTCTCCAGTGAAGGCATGTGCCCTGTGGCAAAAATCTAAAATAAGAAAAAGAAAAAGAAAGTGGTTATTTTCTTCACAGTGGCAATGTCTTATGCTCACACTGATATATTTTCAAAGAGTTGTGATGGTTTTAGGAATACATACAGAATATTTGCCGAGAATGATATGTCTAGGTATGCTTCAGAACAATGAAAGAGAGCCGGGAGGTGCTATTCCTGAAACAAGACTGGCTGTAAACCAATAACCAGAAAGCTGAGTCATGGCTGCATCCATGTCACATACTACTATTCT